ATGAACATTGACTGAATCTGTATCATAGGTTTTAGTTTTAACCAGTTAATGAACCCTGCTTTCATCTTTTTAAACGTTCTAATGTATATTTTTCATTTCTGATAGAATTCTTATTCCTTTGTTAACCATCCTCCAAATACTAAAGTTTTAAAGCATGTTTTCACAAGAGTCTGTGTAGTAACTACAGCGTGTCCAATCTTACCCGGACGTGGGGCTAGGCAAAGGGTGGAGGGGGGGCACCTTGGCCGCGTCTTCGTCCCTTCCACCAACCGTTGCTTGAGTCTATGGATATATGTGGATATATACGTCCGCTCTGCGAGGCTAGGCTCTGTGAATCTGGTCATCTGCGCTCTGCGTTCCAGCCATGTCTAGGGAATGGGCAGAGAGGGGCGGCCGAGTAGCCCCTCCAAGTTATTCAGCGCCGATGTGCACTGTGCCTCCAACAGGTACCGCCGCTTCGCATTCCACTGCTCTTTTGTCGCATGTTGTGGAGAAGTGCTGGTTACGACTTCGACTCTATCTTGTATATCTCTTATTATAACAATAAATATCGATGATTTTGTGGCGACTACACATCACAATGTGGGAAATGCCATAGGTTTTTTTTACAAAATCATCGGTCTAATATTCTACTGGATTAGTTTGCAGGTCCATTTTCAACAGGGAACAACAATCACAAAGATAATTGGGGATCTTGCTGGTAGGCCCCATGGGGCATCTTCTTATGGTGACAACGAATCTACTCAGACGGTGAGAAGTAGTACTGATATTTTTTAATAATTTCCCTCATCGACGCTTTCTGCTGCTTTTGAGGAACTTCAAAAATGTGTTTTTAGGCTCTTACCCTTGAACAACCTTTAACCTTTCGGCACTATTTATTTCTTGCTGTCCTTGGCGCCCGCGCCGCAAACGCCGGTACGAAATTACACCAAATCGCCTAAGTCGTTGAGAATCTGTTCCCAGGAGTAGTTTGACTTCCTAGACGCGATTATAATTTCTGCATAGGGTGTCAAGAATGTTAAGGATGGCGTAAATAAGGGTTACCCATGAGAGCCCGGCCTAAATCTGCTGGTCTGCACTCTTTACCAGGATAGTGACTGTCCTCGGCTAATGCTGATCCCCAGTGTAGGAAAAATCGCAGCCAGGAAATGCGTGGTCATTCTCTCGCTGTGTTTCCTTCACTGCTCTAGCGCACTGCGTGGCAAGAAACCGCCTAGGGTCCTTGCTACACGTGCTGAATTTGAGACATAGTCATACGGCGACGTCGCTTGTGGCGCGTTATCCCTGTTGAGGAATTAAAACTATCCGTACATCTGGGTGGCCATTTTCCAGACAGATAGCAGTTTTGATTTGGCTTTGAAAACTTTGAAACTTGGGGCAGTAAAGGGTAAGTAATACTATAGTATATGAGAAGCCAAGATTGAGTTTTAGTTCATCGGCTTCATGGCGATACTGCAGTACCGTCCTAGTGCCTTACTGTTCTGCTTCGAATGCAGAACTTGGGTGCATGCGACGACAACAGACTGATTAATCGGGAAGACTTCAGAGGTGTTCCCGCGAGGAATGAAAAGGTAGGGTTTTCTGAAGTTTCTACTAGCAATTACGGAAGTGCTTCGCAGCGTTTGTATGTCTGACTTCAATGAACGCAATTCTTTTCGTTGTATTAAATTTCTGAGAAGATGCATGGTCATCTGGGTGGTCAGTCTACCTCGCAACAGATTTCTTGAAACATATGAAGCTGAAAGATGAAGCTAGGGTCAATAAGTGGCCTGTTTTACCTAGTTCCACTTGGGCCTGGGTCTTACGCCCGGGGTTCGTGTTTACACCAAATAGGCACCTGTTTGGATCCGCCTCGTGATAGGCTCGCTAGTTACGTTGTTCAGGCTGCTCCTTTCTCTCATATAGTTGAACTAATTCCGTTGCCTTTAGGAGCTTTGCCAGAGAAAGGTCGTTACTTCTTAGTGTAAACGCATAAGCTTGCAGTTTAATTGTGAAGTTATTAGTTATGTGTAGCCCTTTCTCTTCCTCTAACGCAGGACCACAAATGTGTGGCTCACCAAGTTAACCTTATCGTGTAACCGAGGTGTCGTGTGGCAGAGAGGTTCTTAATGCATGGCCAGTTTTATTGCTTATACCTTTGCTTGGCTTGTATGACTTCCTTTTATCTCCTGCTTTTCATTTGTTCGGTATATCTAGCGGTATGTTTGTTTCTTCCGCGCTCGGGTTTTTTCTTTTCTCTATTTTCTTCTTCCTTTTTGTTCATGATGCTTACGATTACGTTTTTGCTGTGGATGGTGTTAGCTGCGAGCTAATAAATAAATAAATAAATAAAACCTTCATGTTAAGAGGGAACGGTCACGATTTCCTGAAACGGTTCTATCAAGAATTCAAGAGAGCCTCAAGAAGAATTATCGGATATCTGCAAGCACCATATTTCCTCGACGTGGTGAAGAGACTTGGAGGAAGATGACGGTGTGTTGTTTTGAATCGCTGTGGTATCTGCTCTGAAGTTGTTGCTATGGTTTTCTAGATGCTTTTGTTTCGACCCTCAAACGTTCTTCCGAACGGTGGCTTCCGATGCTTTTCCGTGCCTGTGGTAGTGCGTCATCCAATGTACCAAACTCATCACGACAGCGAATTTTAGCTCGGTTATGGAAGCAAGTAGACAGCAAAGGTACGATAAGGTTCCCAGTCCGCATCGACGAGTTGGAATAGACTCACGGTCTCATAGTTCTTTGTCAGATAAGACAGATCCGTTCTGATCCGCAAATTTTGTTGTGAATCTCTGAAAGTGTAGATTCTTTGAAAGTTAATTGATTCCTTCCTGTTGCAGCAAGCATTATAGGTATAGTTGTACCTGGTTCGCTGCAGATGAAGGGGCGTGTCAGGCAGTATGAGTATGCCACGGCGCCAAACCCGTTCTCTGCCAGTTGCTGAAGCGGGTATGCGACAACAGTTGTTAGAAACGGGTGATAGGAACGATATGATAAAGTTCTGTTGCCTGCTCGCTTCAGTAAGTACTGGTTAACAGGTTTAGCGTCACGCCAAACTCACTGCTGATAGGCCCTTTTGTCCGCAGCGAAGTAGACTATAGTTACAGTATACCTGTTAAAGGAGTAGCGATAAGCACTTCTTGTATCAACTCACTGTTGTCATCGTTGTTGGAAATCGA